TCAAGTGCATGCCAAGACTGTTTTAAGTTGCAAAACACAATATTTAAGTAACATAAAACACAAAAACATATTCACAAATTTTATAGAATATTGAATAGTTTTATTAATAAATTCACACATTCCCTTGTAAAATGTAAAGATTTTATYATAAATAATGTTGTCTATTTGTGGTACTGTCTCATTATATTTTCATACTAAGGTAATAAACACACTAAGCAATGATTAGTGAAAATGCAAAAGGCATTGTAACTGAACAAAATAAACATAAACAAATAATTATCATCAATATCACTGTTGCTATGGGAATTAATAAATAACTGACATCTGATGCAGTGTTTCCATKGTGATGTATGCACAAACAAACCATCAMTTGCTCTTGTACAATGATGGTGTTACCATGGCGATATGTGCACTGACATAAATAGGGTATGTCATTTGTTTATCGACCTGAAGAATACGAACTTCCTCGTCAAGTCCAAGTGTCAAATGTTTAAGTCCTGATGTTTTATAAAACTTTTCATGGCCTTCGCTATTAAAYGCTGCAATGTCAACTTTGACCATAAAGCTGTGTTTCTGTTGAATGCAGACTATTCCATGGCTAGGATGCAAGTATGTGTTACGTCGGAAACTCAGTTGCCTGGTTCTATTGTTGTACATTACTATAATGTCCAGTCCATAAAGAAATCCAGTCCACCGCCAGCAGTACTGCAAAAAATAATAATATACTAATAATAAATACAAATTATCACTGTCAGTGACAGTTCCTGTTCTTTGATAGTCTTTCCCTAACAGTGACAATTTCCAGTTTTGCCAAATTGAACAGGAAGACCAACAAAAGGAGGAGAGGCAACAAAGGAGATAAGGTTCTTGTTTATGTCAACCCTGATTTAAGGAGTTTTAAGGTGTTCTCAGGGACAAAAATTTGATGTTTGAAATCAAACCTTATGTGGCTAAAGTAACCATCCCTATAAACTAGGGAAATTTGACTTGATGTCTGGTAATGAACAAAGTAGGGCTTACCATGAATACTCTGTTAACAACAGGGACTTTCTGCTTGCCCCAATAACCCCCCATCCCCCACTCAAATGCCCCTGGGTTTTCATTGATAATCACTATGTCTAAAAACATAATATCTATGGCATAATGACATGAATATCAATGTCACCCTGCTATCCACCTATTGTGCAATAATTACCCTGGTACTTTTTTCTAATATTCGTCCATATCTCTGAGCACATAAGTTAAATTCTTCTAAGGTGATATCTTCTGTTGGTCCATGGTCTAGATTCTGATAGATGAACATGACTTTTTTCCACTGCTCCATGTATACTGAGT